CCCTTCTTTTTAACTTCTTTCTTGGGCTTCTTCTCATAGATTGGGTATCTTGTATAGAAGCATGAGCTTTCTTTTACATCTCCATCATGTCTGGAGTGACGTTCTTTATATTGAGAGAACGGCTTTTTGTAAGAATCTTCATCTTCTTCCATTAGGTAATGCATATAATCTGCAACTTTCTGCCTCATTATATGTTTCCAATGTACTTCGGCATTAAATTCCTTGCTTTCAGAATCATAACCAGGGAATCATTTGGTACTGTGAGGGATAGACAAGCTGCCATCCACAGCTCCTTTCTTTATTGCCAGTGGTAGTCCTAGCAAGGCCTGCAAACAAATACATGATAAAGCACCATGCTGGCCACCGATGCTTTCCACATTGTATTCATTGCCAATCACCTCCACTTGGCCTTCCTAGAACTTGCCAAACCTATCCAGAAGCCTGTGGGCGAGCAGCAGGCCAGTACAACATGCTGCAGCATTATTTGTCAGGCCAACCTTCACACCGTATTTTGGTAGTTCATGTGCATAAGCTGTGCAGACTATCACATTCCCTTCTATACAGGTAGAAGCAATCTGACAAATGATGTCTCTGTTATTCACACGAACTATCATTCTGTATTTGGGTGTGTTGTATCTATTTTCATCCTGTATCACCAAGCATTTCTAAGCATAGTAATCAGTTTTACCCTCTCGTTGTCTTCTAACTTTCATTTAGTATCTCTTAAAGTAGGTCTCCTTTTTTTTTCAAATTGAAATGTATTTATTAGAATACTAATAAATGCAGATAAAAAACACCCACATACAGAAAAAGAGAAAAACACTCAAAAATGCCATTACAGATTAGGCAAGTTAGTTGGCAGAAATGAGTCCTTTAGGGTATACAAAATGTTAACATTTGCCCAGGGATTTCCCATAGATGGCATACTCCACAGGACTTATTTGGAAGGGTAGGTCTTATTTTTGACAACTTTAACAAACCCCATCTGCAGAATAGAGACCCGTGTTGGTGGCCCCACACAAACTTGCAGCTATCTTTGACTTTGGATGGTTTGATCATAACGTGTCTCTGTATGGTGCTCTTTAGGTTCATCCAAGTTAGTGTTCTTTCAGTTTCTTGAATTTGGATGTTCATTTCCTTCCTCAGATTGGGACGTTTAGGGCCTTTATTTCTTCAAATAAGCTGTCTGTATCTTTCCTTCTCTTCTTCTTCTGAGAGTCCCATAATGTCTATATTGGCCCACTTCATGGTATCCCCTAAGTCCCTTAGACTTCTTCACCTTCTTTATTCTTTTTTCCTTTATTTTCATTTTTGAGACAAAGTCTGTCAACCCAGCTAGCGTGCAGTGGCATCACCATAGCTCCAACTCCTGGGCTCAAGTAATTCTCCTGCTTTAGCCTGCAAAGTATCTGGGACTATAGGCTCACACTACTATGCCCAGATGACTTTTCTATTTTTTTGTAGAAACAGGTTCTCATTCTTGTCCAGACTTGTCTCAAACTACTGACTTCAAGTGATAATCCCTGCCTTTGCTTCCCAGAATGCTAGGATTACAGGCATGAGTCATTGTGCCTGGCCTTTATTCCTCTTTTTGCTCTCTGACTTGATAATTTCAAGTCACCCATCTTCCAGTTCACTGGCTTTTGCTTTTGCTTAATCAAGTCTGATGTTTAACTGCTGTAGTGAATTTTTTTCAATTCAGTTATTATGTTCCTCAGTCATGGAATTTGTTTGGTTCTTTTTTACAGTTTCTCTTTGTTGATATTCTCTTTTGTTTATGTATTATATTACTGATTTCATTTAGCTATTTATTCATGTTCTCTTATAACTCACTGAGTCTAAAATTATTTTGGATTCTTTATTAGGTAACTCATATATCTCTGTTTCTTTAGGGTTGGTTTCCAGAGATTTCATTTGTTCCTGTGATTGGGCCATATTTTGTTGTTTCATCATATGCCTTGTTATCTCTTGTTGGAACTTGGGCATTTGAAAAAAGTCACCACATCTCCCAATCTTTATAGACTGGCTTCATACAGGGGAAGACCCTTAGCAATCAGCTCAGCCAGAGATTCTGGTGACTTTTCGTTTTTTTGTTTTTTTTTTTTTGAGACAGAGCCTCAAGCTGTCCCCCTGGGTAGAGTGCCGTGGCATTACAGCTCACAGCAACCTCCAACTCCTGGGCTCAAGCGAGTCTCCTGCCTCTGCCTCCCAAGTAGCTGGGACCACAGGTGCCCGCCACAACACCTGGCTATTTTTTGGTTGCAGCCGTCATTGTTGTTTGGCGGGTCCGGGCTGGGGATTCGAACCCGCCACCTTAGGTGTACATGGCTGGCACCTTAGCCAGTTGAGCTATAGGACCCGAGCCCTGGTGTCTTTTCAAATTTTTTCTGAGAATGTTTTCTCTGGACCTGGCTTTGTATTTTTCTAATTAGAGTGGTTTGCCTGTTTCTTCTGCAAGGACTCGTAACCTCTTGCTCTCTCTGGTGTCTGCATTACTTCAGGTTCTCCGTGCTGCAACAAGCTACTGAACTTTCTTTGTTCTCATCCAAAATATGGTGGTTCCCTGTCCCAAGCAATGTGAGACAAAAACCAATCCCTCAGAAAGCCCCTGAAAAGCTAGAATGTTGGACATACTTTCTACTTTTTTCTGTTTCTCCAGGGGAGAAGCCATAAATTAGGCATTTCCTCCTAATTACACGGAATTGTGCTGACTTGAGAAGGGCTATCTTAAGTGCAATTTTTTTCTTACCTCTTTCAAAGCAGTTATTCTTGGCTTTGTACTTGCCTGGGGTAATATAACTTCTTTTTTTTTGAGACAGAGCCTCAAGCTGTCACCCTGAGTAGAGTGCTATGGCATCACAGCTCACAGCAACCTCCAATTCCTGGGCTCAAGAGATTCTCCTGCCTCTACCTCCCCACCACAATGCACGGCTGTTTTTTGGTTGCAGCCATCACTGTTGTTTGGTGGGCCGGGGCTGGATTCAAACCCGCCAGCTCAGGTGTATGTCGCTGGTGCCTTAGCCACTTGAGCCACAGGCGCCGAGCAGAGTACTATAACTTCTTAGCTGGTTTCTAAAGTTCTCATAAATGCTTTTTGGACTATATATTGTTGAGAAGTTATTGTCTCTGGAGTTACAAGATCTGTAGCTTCCTGTTCTTCCATCTTGCTGATATCACTCTGAGACAGCTATCAATTTTCATTGCTTCTGCACTGCTCTGCTACCATATACCTATACTCTTTCTAGTTTGCTATTTCAGTCTGTACAGATCTGAGAAACCAGATAGCTTAGTTTTTAAATAATGTTATGATTTATAAAATTAAATAGTTTATAAAATAAAACAGACCTGAGAAACTGAGATGAGGGATTTGAGACAACTCTTTCCAGAGGTTCATTTACTGTTGGTTCTGGATGTGTTTTCTTAGCCCAAGATTAACAAAGTCAGACCTCTGAATACACAAAGCATTCATTTTGTTGTTATAGGACAAACATTTGTTTTGTATTTCTGTAAAAATTAGAGTTTTAAAGCTCTGGATTTTCCATATAAGCATCACAAAACACATTCTATTTAAGGTTCCGCTCCTGGTTTAAATAACATTTTCTCTTAGTGGCTGGTCTTTCCAAATATGAAATGCCTCCTGTAAATTTCACGCTTTTTTTTTTTTTCTAATCTTGAGTACAACCAATAGGGTTTATGCATCCCTATCAGTAAGCCAATCAGTAAACTTACTGAGATAGCCTGCCTCTTTGGATATATGCTATACCTGTTAAACACATTCAATTCAGATCTGGTCCTCTTATGCAGAAATTAACCTAACTTCAGAGAAAAGCAAAATAAGAAGTAGGAGGAGGATGTGATGGATACTCCCAGAGTAACCTGGAATTACAGAATCCAGGACCCTAATTCTAAGTACCTGGCTAACATATATTTTCTTTATTTTTTTGAGACAGAGCCTCAAGCTGTTACCCTCAGTAAAATGTCGTAGCATCACAGCTCACAGCAACCTCCAACTCCTGGGCTCAAGGGATTCTCCTGCCTCTGCCTCCCACTCAGCTGGGACTATAGGCACCTGCCACAACGCCCGGCTATTTTTTCTTTTTCTTTCTTTCTTTCTTTTTTTTTTTTGAGACAGACTCATTTTTTTGCCCTCTGTAGAGTGCTGTAGCATCATAGCTCACAGCAATTGCAAACTCTTGGGCTCAAGCGATTCTCTTGTCTCAGCCTCCCAAGTAGTTGGGACTACAGGCGCCTGCCACAATACCTGACTATTTTGTTGCTGTTGTTTGTTTAGCAGCCCCAGTCTGGGTTAGAACCCACTGGTCCCAGTGCATGTGGCTAGTGCCCTAACACTGAGGTACGGGCGCTGAGCCCCAGCTATTTTTTCATTGCAGCTATCATTGTTGTTTGGTGGGCCCCGGCTGGATTTGAACCCGCCAGCTCAGGTGTATGTGGCTGGCGCCTTAGCCGCTTGAGCCACAGGCACTGAGCCACATACATTTCTTATTTAGGTGTCTGCAGCTACTTTGTAGAAAGACAGCAGAAACCAGGACTGGACTGAGCTTCTCTGCAAATAAATATTCTGGATTTCAAGCAAGTCATCTGGCTATAGGGACGGAGAAGTCCCATGTAGCTTTCCAGTGAGGAAGCATTTCACTATTAGTTCTGCCTCAAAGAAAAATACTGACCCCATTTGCATTCCTTGCCAATAGACAAGGAATGGCTAGTCATTAGCAGCTGTGGAAGACAAGCTGGTGATGATGATGAGTGAATAAACAGATGAACGATCATTTAACCAATCTATGTACAGATTCATGCTTATATAACCATAGCCAGGAGGCCCTGGTATGGATTTTCTTGCTCCTTTCAGACCAGGAGTGACTAACTCTAGGTGAAAAAGGACAATCCCCCTGGTAAATTTATTCTCAAATATAAAAAGTTTAAGTCACTTAAATTCTCAGCAGTGAGATTTTTGTCTTGCTCAACTTGCAGACCTAGCTTACCTCAAATTACGTACTACTTTGCAGAAGAAGATTGCATGGGCACAGGCGTTGATCATCAGTCCCCGAGAACGGCCCAGCAAATACACCAAGATCCTATCTTCCTGTCGCATCCCATACTCAAACTGCAGGGACTCAAGGTCCTCTAGCAGGTCCATTTCCAAGCCACCATCTCCTGCAGTGACAGATACTAATCAGTTTGGCTCCCTATCATTGAAAGAGATAAAGGGCATGTGTGTGGTGGTGTGTCACTAATGCCCTTGATGATGAACTTCAGCACCTCTTTTCTCTTCCTCTTTCCTCCCAGATTCTGAACTTGTTCACTTCTGCGTGTGTGTGGCGGGGGGCGGGGGGGAGGGGCGCCTTGAGGATTCCTAATCACTGACAGCCCATGGATCCAGGATTCATGAACAATCTGAACAGAAACCCAAAGTCACGATTCTCCACATAGGCTGCAGGCACATTTTTCAGCAGATGAATTTACATGAGCAACAGATGAAGTGTTCATAGGCCAGATCCTTCTCCCTTTCATTCCCTCCAAGGTTTTGGAAGTAGGTCTGAACACTTAGGACTATGTGTTCAAAAAAAATTTTTTTTTAATTCTTCCCTTTCAGTAAACTCTGTTTCCCACAGGATAGAAAAAAGCCCAGACTGGCTCAGCGCCCAGAGCACAGTGGTTATGGAGCCTGCCACATACACCAAGGCTGGTACGTTCGAACCCAGCCCAGGCCAGCTAAGCAACAATGACAACTGCAAGAAAAAAATAGCCGGGTGTTGTGGTGGGTACCTGTAGTCCCAGCTACTTGGGAAGCTGAAGCAACAGAATCACTTAAGCCTAAGAGTTTGAGGTTGCTGTTGAGCTGTAACACCACAGCACTCTACCGAGGGCAACATAGTGAGACTTTTGTCTCAAAAAAAAAAAGCCCAGACTAAGTATCACTGGTCCCTGTCTCAGGCAGGGATATCTAGATTTTACAAAATAAACCCAGAGACATATAAACTCATCTACATACATCTATCACCAAACAGAGAAGATCGGCCCTACTCCTCCATACTTCTGGTCCTAGAAGGGAAGGACTAAATTTCTAAGAATTACCCAAGAAACTTGCCATTATGACTCCTTAGCTACCAGATTACTTCAGTCTCTGAGTCTTAAAGGGGCAAGCCCCACTTAGAGGTTTTCCTGATCTGCACATGAGGACATAAGTACCTTGCACTACTTATAGGGGTACTACATACAGCAGGGTAGTATGGGACCTTCCCAACTCAAGATTCCCGACTTCTAGTGTTGTTACAGAACAGTGATGTTCTAGTGATGTTACTGAAACATCATATAGATCTTAGCACTATTTATTTTTCCAACCCATTCTTGTTATGTTCAAAGAAATCAATAAAATTTTGAGGTGAAATATAGTTAACATAAAATTAGTCATTTTAAAGTGTAAAATTCAGTGGTACATTCGGGGTGTTGCACAATAACCACCTGTATGTAGTTCTAAAACATTTCCATACCACCGAAAAGAAACCCCACACCCATTAAGCAGTTACTCCCCATCCCTCTCCACCCTAGGGTCTGGAACCATCAATCTTCTATCCGTATGGATCTGCTTATTCCAGATATTTCATATAAATGAAATCATAAAATATGTCATCTTTTGAATCTGGTTTCTCTAATTCCTCTTAAAGGAAGGTTATTACATCATAATTACAATCTCTTTTTTTTTTTTGGCTGGGGCTGGGTTTGAACCCACCACCTCTGGCATATGGGGCCGGCACCCTAGTCCTTTGAGCTACAAGTGCCACCCACTTGCAATCTCTTTAAAAGCAAATTTGCCAAGCACAGTAGCTCATGCCTGAAATTCCAGCTACTTGGGAAGCTAAGAGCTTAAGGTCAGCCTGGGAAACATAGAAAGACCCCTGTCTCTAAAATAAGTAACAAATACATAAATGCAAAGTCTCCAACACTTTAAGTGAGGAACATGAAGTTCTCATCAAATCTAAGGAACACCTCCTTACACCAAAACAATGGGTAGGTCATCCTAATGTTAACAAGTGGTGTATCCTGCTCTGAACGAAAAAGCTCAAAAGCTCTCAGATCAGCATGACCGATGCAAGTTGTACAGACGTGAATTCTAGGACTATCCTTCACTTATGCATTTTCAAAAACGAGGACTCAGTTGTTATAGCTTTGTAATATGTCAAAAGTAGGCTGAACTACATTTTCTAGAATTCCCTTCCCTGTACGTTTTTGTTTAGCATATGCCAGAGATTTTCTGTGGACAATCAGGATGGTACAAATGAAATAGCAACCAGTTTGTGTTTCTGCTTGCAAGGTTAGGGCAGGCACTTTTGTAGTTCACACATGTTGTTGCCTGTCTGCTGGGTTCTTTGTTGGTCTGGGACACCAGTTGGGCCTGTAACTACATCTTCCTCTGGATCTTCCTTTAGCTGCTTACTCCCAAGCCAAGTGTTTTTCAGTTCCAAGACAAAGGTACCAGCTCTTCCTGCAGAACATCTACTTCATTAAGGTCGTAGGCAGCGTATGGAGAATCCTCAAAGAACTTAAATTAGACCTCCCATTTGATCCTGAAATCCCATTACTAGGCATCTACCCAGAAGAAAAAAAGATCCTTTTATCATAAGGACACTCACACTAGACTATTTATCGCAGCTCAATTTACAATCACCAAAATGTGGAAGCAACCTAAATGCCCACCAACCCAGTAATGGATTAACAAGCTGTTGTATATGTATATGGAATACTATTCAACCACTAAAAAAAGATGGAGACTTTACACCTTTTGTACTAACCTGGATGGAGGTGGAACACATTCTTCTTAGTAAAGCATCACAAGAATGGAGAAGCAAAACTCCAATGTACTCAATTCTAATGTGAAGCAGATGAGCTAATATAAGAGGGGGGGATAGGGAAATGAGGGAGCCGGTAGAGGGGAAGTGGGAGGGGGATGGGAGGTCATGGTGTATGGCACACCTCTTGGGGGCGGGTCACAAGTATAAGAGGGACTTTATCTAACAAAAATTAGTGTAACCTAATTCTTTGTGCCCTCAATGAAACCCCAACAAAAAAAGAAAACAAAGGTTGGAGGCAGTGAGAACTAACATGAGTCCTAGTCTACTCTCATGGGTTCTAGCTTGTCCCTGCTCTCCATCATTTTATATCCATCTTCCTTTCCCCACTCTCTCCCCTGTAGACTACAAACTGTACCACCAAATATGAAGATAACCCTAGATAGACTATTTATCCAGCTGCCATACTTGAGTAGGGTCAAATCCCTCTTAAAAGATTGCATATATAGATTAGATAATGTATATGTACTCCTGTGGTTCTCTCAGTGAACCCTGGCCTTGCCCATACACTAGTTAATATATGGTTACCACTGTTCGTTTAAAGATAAGCCAATAAGGGTGGCGCCTGTGGCTCAAAGGAGTAGGGTACTGGCCCCATATGCTGGAGGTGGTAGGTACAAACCCAGTCCCAGCCAAAAACTGAAAAAAAAAGAAAAAGAGATAAGCCAATAAACTTTAGTACAGTCTAGCAAATTAAACTCCTGTTTCTTCAACAGTGAGAAAGGAACTGAATATAAAGTTACCTGGAATCGCAAAGGGGACTGCAAGTCTGGTTCCCTTAAAGCAGGGTTTCTTATCATTGGCATTACTAACATTTTGGGCAGAATAATTCTTTGTTGTGGGGAGTTGTCCTGTGCATTAGTGTATAGAGCAAGGGTCCTCAAACTTTTTAAACAGGGGACCAGTTCACTGTCCCTCAGACCGTTGGAGGACTGGACTGTGGGCTCCGGGACGAGTTGGCTGCTAAGCAGGACAGGTAGCGGCAGCAAAAACACCCGGCAGGCCTAAATGTCCTAAGTGGGCTGCATGTGGCCCGCAGGCCATAGTTTGAGGACGCCTGATATAGATGCAGCATCCCCATATCCACTAGATGTCAGCAGCACTGCCCATGTGGGCACATAGTGTCTTCAGGCAATGTGTCTGAAAAGTTGCTTCTAGTTGATAACAACATTGCCTTAAAGCAGTGGTTCTCAACCTTCCTAATGCCGTAATGTATTTTCATTGTTAAAAAGGAGCCATGACCCACAGGTTGAGAACCACTGCGTATGCTATGTGCCTCTGTATGAATTATTTTCTCTTTTCTCATCTTCTACCCTGCCACATTCACAGGAGTGCAAAACTTGACAGTCTTTTAGATTACCCTGCCCTTATTTTATAATGAAGAAAATGAGCAGACAGAGAAAAAGACTCACTCAGTATCACACAACTTGTTAGTGGTAGAGCTGGGAAAGGTAATTAGGTCTGTGTCTCCCAGTTCAGTGCTCTTTCTGTTAACCATATGGCCCAGCTTTGCCATAGCAGTTACTCTATAACCTGCTATATGCTGAATGTAGTCAATGAAGGAGACTTGTAGTGGTCTCAAGATATTGAGCAATTATTTCATTATTCTGCACAAAACAACTGGGAGTGGAAGAGAAGGCACTAAGGAAGAAACAGCTTTATTAGGAGTCTAGGCATGTCACGAAGACCCAGTTCAGACAGAGAAGAGAGGTAAATAATGGCACAGAGCAAGAATATAGCATTATAGAATATCCTCTCAAAAAATAAGTGTGAAAATAAAACCACTATCTAAATAGCCTAACAGAAGTGCTGTTGAGTTTAGCCCAGGTGAAACTTCTGGAAATAATGAGATTTTGCATAAAGGGAGAGAGCTCTCCAGCATTGCTCCATCTGAGCTCTGTATGAGGGTATGAGTCTGGCATAGAAGTTGAGGAAAGTGCAGGTGAGAGAGGAACCCTAAGTTTTTGGACACAGAGTAAACTGGGGCAGCAGAGGGATACTGGCTGAAGAAACACAATCTCTGGGTAATGTCTGTCATGGTGTAGAGGATTCTGTGCAATCTGGTGTGTGTCTCAAACAGGTCTTGGGCAACACTGGACTGCTTTCTGAAGCCCCTGGAAGACAGCCATTTTGGTTCTGTTCTGACTTCATTCACAGCAGAACTGCCAAGGTCCAGCACCATGTCCTGGATCATAATTAGATGAGTGGAATGGACTGGCCATCATATTACACCTGTACCTCACAGTTTAAGAGAGTTCCTTTCTGGAGCAGTGACTTTTCTCGGACCAAG